CTTTTCCTTCTGATTCAACATGTAGTTACTAGAAAATGAGGTTGCATCAACATTATTATCTGCTTTATCAATTTAAAGTTTTATGGGGATATAAAACTCAATAGAAAAAACGTTTTAAAAGCTTTAGGACTGAAGTGCAGACTTTTTGAAAATTCGCACGTGGCAAGCAAGCGCACTAATTCAATACATTTATTTTAAACCACAATATGTCTGAAACGAGTTGTCGTTTTAAGACTAAATTGATGAAAATAGATATAACAGTGATTTTGGAATATCCTACTTACTTAGTGTAATTTAGTACTCAAAATATTCTTGCCAAAAAGGGCGCGTACGCACACAGTAATTTAATCTGGTGTCGTTTGAAACATACTTTAGCTAAAATAACAACTTGAACAAGAAGACCAACAATGGGGTTACGAAAACAGTCGAAATTGTGCCCAAATTTACATAAACAGTTCATCTAAAAAGATAACTTTAAACTAGATTTAACCAACTTTAATGTGGTCGAATTTTGTGAATGTTTGATTGCATATTTCTACTAAAAAATACCTTTTAAAATATCGTATCTGCTCACTTGAGTTCCATGTTCATCTTTCTTGTGATTTCCGACTTCTATTTTTAATAAAGTTTGGAGAAATCCTCATCTTTTTGGCTGAAAATCTTGCGGATGGTTCACAGAAGAACTTGGCCCCAAAACGTCAATACATTCACTTTCCTTTGTAGATGTAGATGATTCAAAAACCTCTTCTTTCTTCGCTGTAGATGATTCAAAAACCTCTTCTTTCTTCGCTTTTAAAACTTGCTGTAAAACCCTTCTTTGCAACAGTATCGCCATTGTTCATTATTTTTGAAAAACTAAGGTTTTAAACTTGAAACACTTTGCGAGTTTTTGGCCGATTTTCTTGCATGATACACCGTTGAAAAGCTCGAATTTCACGTTCTATTTTCGTATCCGTTGCTAGGCAACCCAATAAACACGTGCTCAAATATCATGCCCGCAAGTTAAGGAGTCTTGTTAGGGCGCATTGCTGGTTACCCCCTTGCCAATCTCAGGGCGCATTCAGGCTCATTGCCGCTTAATGAGTTAACCAAAACATTTTATTGCACCGAGTATATGCAAAACAAAGTCAGATAATTTTAAGTTTACCAAGTGTTGTACCTTTTATGAAATATATTGCATGATGAATAACGATTGTTTTGTGTAACAAGTTTTACTATAACTGACATTTTTTTTTCACACCAAAAAGACCGAAACCAAGACAACATGAAATTGTTTGAGCCACACTACTGTAATTTCAAACAGGAAAAACTTACATGGAAGGTGTTTGCTTTGGGGTGTAAACCAAACCAAGACTGTTCGCGCACTCAATGCCACCAGTATTTTTGGTACAAGTGAACACATGCCAGTGATAATCTGTAATACAGCAGTTGTGAAGTGGGTGGACATCATGTATTTAACCTTACCTAAAACGGGTGGAATGCTTGAAACTGCCAGGTAGGTCGGGATTTAAAATGATCATTTATCCCAATGATCAAACCAAGGGAGACCTTCATCATGATCAAAGTTTTCATCATGGTCACATTGACCACCAAGCCACTGGTGCTGATTGCAAATGTGGTGGAGCAATCCAATCCACTTATTTTAAACAGATATAAGCTTCAATCTTCAGTGTGGGTAATAATTAACTTCCCGACGAAGGGCCTATGCTCAAAATGTCGATTTTCTCTTATTTTTCAAATAGCTACTAACCACACTGAAGCTTATTTACCACATCCCCATCTACCCTGACAACCCACATTAAGATTTAAACAGATATACCCAGCTGGCGAGTTTCAGTACAAATTAGAAAGTTGAACAAATAAATACCTTCATAAGTCTAAGTGCTTTGTCATCAGAGGTGTCCTCATCTTTTCGGCATGCGCTGGAGCAGTTGTGCCAGAAATGTCTGCCAATGTGGGTTGACCAATCCTTAATTTTTTCATCACTTTTGGTTTGCCCAACTAAAAGACACATAACACTTATTGTAAGTTGATATGAACCACAGTTCATTATTACCCCCACATGGACTTTTTCCCTTGCTAATTGCATTTTGCTGTAGGCAAATTCCAGTAAAGTACTATAATGCATTTAAGTGTACATAACACTGAAGCTATTTTGGAAGCTTTGTGAAGAACATTTAATATGCAACTTGCAAGCAATATAGACAAAAACAAGGCAAAATGTCCATACTTAGCTAAGTGCCCCATTGTTCAATGGTCCAGACAAACCTTAGCCAGACATTTCTTAATGCTTTTAGACTTGTGCCAAACATCTAGACTGTACACAATATCCTTGTATTGGGATTCTGAAATAAAAAAATAACCAATAACATAAATGTAGCTACTGACTACCAATAGTGCATAAATGATTAAATTTATGTCCATTGTCACATCAACAATGAACTGCCGTAATTTGACTATGTATTTGGGTCTATTTTCCTTTGGATATTGTAAAAGTTTTATTGTACGTTCAAAGTTGTTTATTATAAATATCTTAATCCATTGAGTGGCAGCACTCCACTTGACAAGTAAAATTATCTGGCATTAGACTGAGTAAAATCATCTGGCGTTAGATCGAGTAAAATATTCTGGCGTTAGACAGTAAAATAGTCTGGCGTTAGACAGAGTAAAAACGTCTGGCATTAGACAGAGTAAAATAATAAAGTAGGGCACATTAGGGTGCATTCCCACTTAAAGAATGAATTAGTACCCGGTTTCTTAATACACTAGCTGTTTGGTGTTTCAAATCAAATTTATAATCTGATATATTTCTTGCATGTGATATTTTTCTTCAAATACAGGATTGAAGATGGAATTGGACAAAAGCAGCTATTGTTCTATTTTATAACGTAACTAATGCTTTCACTGATGTTGATGCATCAGTCACGAACTCAACCACCTTTATCTCTTCAGTAAGCCTCTCTAGACTTTGCTGAACTGCCTCTTTTTCCATGTTTGGGAAGACCAGGCTGACATGTCTCTTGTCCAAGACTTCAATGTGAAGAATATAGTTTGAATCTACCTCCATCATGAAATAGCAAAGATGACCATCACCACCAACAACAACACCATCTTTTCCATAAAATTCCTTATGACTTCACTCCTCATCCAAGACTGCCAATTGTTGATTTCTGGAATCAAATACAACCTTTGTAATCTGTAGTAGGTTGACTTGGACAGAAATTCAAGATTAAAAAATTTTGCCATGCATTCAACTTTTGCATAGTTGCTTCCAGATAAGATGATGGAGGCAGCTGTCTGTAGATTGTTGGCATAAATATCATTGATTTGGTGGGATGACAAAAAATTTAAACTTATACCCTGATGAGCACAAGCAGTTTACAGCAAGGGTAAGTCCAACAAAGTGATGCCTAATATCTGGTAAGTGGCAGTGCACCCAGGTGTCTGGCATCTAGCTTGAAGAACTGGAAGAAACATATCAGCAGAGCAGACAAATTTTCGTTCTTGCACCATAGAAACCTCTTCATCTCTATTGTCATTTATTGAGCTATAAAATATATATGTTGTTAAAGAACTTAATTGTTGTAATTTTTGTTACAGAATGATTATTGCTCAAGTTGCTATAATGAAAAGAGCTTTGGATTTGTGGCACCTTGGGTTTTGTAATGTCCTCATTAATATTCCATGTTACCTTATTAATATTCTAATTAGTATCCAATATAGTTGTATGTAAATAATCGTTAGTTTAGTAATAAAGGTTAGTTCTTCTACAGCAGGCGAAGGGTCACTATATCTGGCGACGAGGATTGTAAATCTAGTAAACTATAAGATATATATAAAAAAAAAAAAGAATACATACTGTTGATGTTCAAGAAGCAAACAGCAAACGTTACGAAGCCAAACGATAACTTTAATTGGTATTTAGCTTCAAGCTAGAATACATTAAGTGAATGGCTGTTTCGCTGCCGAATTTCCCTACTTTTGAAGTTCATTTGGACGGCAATACCGGACCAAGATGGAAGAAATGGGTAACTCGTTTAGAACGACTGTTAACAGCGATGAACATTACAGATAAGAAACAAAAAAAAGCACTCATGCTACACTTTGCTGGCCCAGAAGTCGACGAAATTTTTGACACGCTTGAAGACCCCGAAGGCGAAGCCGACACAGACTATGAAGCTGCCGTAGGAAAACTCACCAAATACTTTGCTCCACAAACGAATATCGCGTACGAAGTCTATAATTTTAGACAAGCAAGACAAAATCAAGGAGAATCACTCGATAGTTATCACGTTAGACTTCGTCAACTCGCTAAGACTTGCGATTTTACGGACATAGACAAAGAGATGAAAGAACACATTATTCTTAGCTGCACTTCGAACACGCTGCGTAGGCGAGCACTTCAGGATGAATACAGCTTGGATAAGTTATTAAAAGTTGGAAGATCGTTAGAAATCAGCGAAAGTCAAGCAAGACATCTCGAAGGAAGAGATCAAGCAATAAATTCGGTGCGTGGCAGAAACAGAAGCTATCAAATGAGACGAAATTATTCATCGCGTGAGGATAAACCACCCACTCATTTTAGCAAGAAGAATATTCATACTTCTAAACAAAGTAAAGAGCCACATCAAACCTGTAGAAATTGCGGTGGACATTTTCCCCATAAACAAGTTTGTCCAGCGAAGGATAAAGATTGTAGAGCATGCGGAAAACGTGGACATTTTGCACGCGTATGTCGTACGAATCCACCGAAGTCGAAACCTGTGAATGCTGTCGCACAATCCCTTGATAAAAACCGACCAAACGATGACGAAGCTGACGAGTACGAATATGTCTATACGGTTAACAAGTCACCAAATGGCCCACCTACCTGTCTAATTGAAATAGAAGGACAACGACTCAACATAATGATCGATACTGGAGCATCGGTCAACCTGATAGATGAAACAACCTACAGGAAAATAAATCGACATGGAGAACGAAGATTGGAAAAGGCAGAGCGCCACATCTACTCCTATGGTTCGTCAGTACCCCTACCAGTACTCGGGACGTTTATCGCTACGATCAAAACACCAGATATGTCAACAGTTGCCAAGCTACATGTCGTTAAAGGAAGTTTTGGAAATCTACTTAGCTTTGTCACAGCCAAGAAATTGAATCTCCTTCAAGTATCTGTGAATGCAGTCGATGTTCCATATCCTGAATGTCTACGACAAGACTACAAGTGTTTGTTTGGAGGAATTGGGAAAGTAAAAGGACGGTTGATTAAATTGCATATAGATCCCCAAGTGAAACCGAAACAACAACCTCATCGTAGAATACCTTTCCACGTACGAAAAGATGTAGAGAAAGAACTTGAACGGTTAGAGAAGTTAGATATAATAGAGAAAGTGGATGGTCCCACTCCCTGGGTAAGTCCCTATCGTGGTCGTGCCAAAAGATTCGGGAGAAGTGAGAATTTGCGTTGATATGCGTGAAGCTAATCAGGCGGTGAAAAGAGAGAAGCATCTGATGCCTACTGTGGACGATCTCATCACTGATCTTAATGGTGCTACGGTATTTAGTAAGCTGGATCTCTCGTCTGGATATCATCAATTTGAATTATCTCCGGAAAGTCGGAACATTACCACTTTTTCCACCCACGTTGGGCTTAGAAGATATAAACGTCTTTTATTTGGAATTAATGCAGCAGCTGAAATATTTCAGAACGCTATCGAAGAAATCCTGGCCGGCTTACCAGGATGCAAGAATATATCAGATGACATTATTGTCTTTGGTAGAGGTCAGAAAGAGCACGATACAAACCTACGTGGAGTTCTCGAAAGATTGAAGCAGTATAACATTCGTCTAAAAGAAGAAAAATGTTCATTCTCACAGTCGACGATTATGTTCTATGGTCATATCTTCTCCGCGGAGGGAATTAAACCAGATCCCAAGAAGATCGATGCCATCAAAGCTATGAATCCACCTGAGTGTTCAAGTGAAGTGAAGTCACTCTTAGGAATGGCGCAGTATGTGTCCAGATTTATCCCCGATTATGCCAAGATAACAGCCCCACTACGAAGCCTCACTAAGCAAGGTGTTGACTGGAAATGGACCGAGGAAGAACAGACGGCTCTCGACAATTTGAAAGAAGCGCTTGCTGGAGATAAAGTGATGACGTATTTTGATCCAAGAAAGAAGACGGAAATCGTTGTTGATGCAAGCCCAGTAGGACTTGGTGGTCTACTGATGCAAGAAGGAAACGTTGTTAGCTACGCAAGCCGCACTCTTAGTGAAGTCGAAGCAAGATATTCTCAAACAGAAAGAGAGATGCTAGCTGTAGTTTGGGCTGCTGAACATTTCCACCTATACGTTTACGGTTCAAAGTTCCACATCATCACCGATCACAAACCCTTACTTGGTATTTTCAAGAGCAGTAAATCCACATCGACCCGCATCGATCGATGGAAGTTGAGACTTATGCCTTATGATTGTCAGTTGTTCTACCGGCCTGGAAGAAACGAAGAAAATCCAGCGGATTTTATAAGTCGTCACCCGAATGCCTCGGAAGTCCAAGAGCAGAACGTAGCAGAGGAATACACCAACTATGTTTGTATCAATGCAGTTCCAAAAGCCATGACTATCGAGGATGTAGAAGTTGAAACTCAGAAAGATCCAACAATGCAAGCCGTGATAAAGGCAATTGAAACCGATAACTGGTCAACCCCCGAAGTTCAGGAGTACACGAAGATCAAACAAGAATTAACAGTTCATAAAGGTACAATCCTGAGGGGAAATCGCCTTGTGATACCACCAACGCTGAGAAATAAAGCTGTGGATCTAGCACACATTGGGCATCAAGGTGTCGTGAAAACAAAAAGATTGTTAAGGGAGAAAGTCTGGTTTCCTGGCATAGACAAGCTTACAGAAGAGAAGAAATTGTCATCCTTGCCAAGTTTCAACGCCCGAAAGCTCAAAACGCTCAGAACCTTTGAAGATGACCCCATTGCCCAGTGGTCCTTGGAAAGAAGTGTGCATCGATTTTGCCGGACCTTATCCTTCGGGTGAATATATCATGGTGGTTATCGACGAATACAGTCGTTTTCCAGAGGTTGAAATCTTGACTTCCACATCAGCTAGAGCAGTGATACCGAAGTTGGACGCAATTTTTTCCAGACAAGGAATTCCTGACGTCTTAAAAAGCGACAATGGTCCTCCGTTTACTAGTCTCGAATTCAAGAAATTCGCAGAGCATCTGGGTTTCCAACATCGTCGGATTACACCATGTTGGCCAAAAGCTAACGGGGAAGCTGAGCGCTTTATGAGAACTCTCGGAAAGTCCATACGCACTGCTACTGTTGAAGCGAGGAATTGGAAACAAGATCTGTACAAATTCCTTCGGCAATACCGTGCTACACCCCACTCTACCACAAACATCTCACCATGTGAAGCCCTCAACCAGAGGAAACTCAAAACGACCTTACCTGAACCAGACCTCCCAAGAGTTATATATGATGATATACAAAGAAAGATGGAAAGAAGAGACGCTGAACAGAAGTCGAAGCAGAAGTTGTATGCTGACAACAAATCACGTGCAAGAGAAAGTTCGCTTAGCCCTGGAATGGTAGTCTTGGTGAAGCAACCTAAGCAAAACAAGTTGAGTACGCCATTTGACCCAAACCCATTTGTGGTGAAAGAGAAGAAAGGGACTATGGTGACAGCTAGTAATGATCTCAAGACCGTGACGCGAAACTCATCCCAGTTTAAAGTTATCCCACCAGAGCTGAATCCTGAAAGAAACCAAGAAAAGCAAGGAAACGAAGCACAAACTGAGAATCCACCATCTGTAGCTAATCCCAATCAAGATGAAATAACCGAATCGTTAAGAAGATCAAATCGACAAAGAAGACAACCCGCAAGATTCACGGACTATGTCACAACCATCAATTAAGGATGTTTAATGATAGATAAGTATATAAATTATAACTAGATAACAATAATAACATAGATGATTTAGACAATTTATTTGAACAATCAAAGATCGAGGAAAAGACAAAAAAAATATTCTACCGTAGATATTAGTTTGAACTTAAGATATGTGGACAATCTTGAGAGAAATATTTAAAACTTCTAGGCATTATTAGGTTTACTTTAAATTAGAGAAAAGATACTTTTTAACTAGTGACAAGGAGGGATGTAATGTCCTCATTAATATTCCATGTTACCTTAGTAATATTCTAATTAGTATCCAATATAGTTGCATGTAAATAGTCGTTAGTTTAGTTCTTCTACAGCAGGCGAAGGGTCACTATAGCCAGTAGTCCGGTATAGAACATCCTAAGCTGACTCAAATTTAGGTATCCCGCCTATTCGCGGGCGGGATGATTGACAGTACCGGGGGGAGGGGAAAAGGACACGAGAACATGTGAGCGAATACGAACAACAAACGTTTGAGACGAGAGAGTTCAGTCGAAAATTTGTATTTTATTTTACTTTGTTCTTATTTATTATATCATTTTTTACTTGTGCGTGAGTATGAGTGTGTGCCGAGTTACGGGTCGGTACATTTGGTGCCGTGACCAGGATTTTTATGAAGAAAAACGAGCGAAATCAACAACGAAGTACATATATTTGCTGCCGAAGGCAGCCTCCTATTCTTGACGATGTGTTATAGCGCATTTGAATTTCCCGCCAAATGAAGTATCGCGTTTACTTGTGTCCAGTCTCTTTGCCCGAGCTATGTATTGTCGAGATCCATTCTCGTACCCAGAGCCCTTCTTACGCGCATTCGACCGAGCCCGACGAGGGGCTCTGGCCAAATCCAGAGGGCCAAATCCATATCAAACTGGCTTCTGATTGGCCACAACTAAATATATGGTTTATTGTATAAAATATGAATAAAAATCAAGCGCTCCATGAAGCGTTGGTTTCGTTTTGGAGAAAATTGGGAGGAAAGACATTATTAAAGTTGAAAGAACAGCAGTACGAATCAGTTAGGAAGATTGTTGTTGATAATCGCCCACAAAAGCGGTAGATGTCGCTAATTTTATTTATTTAAATCAATTAGTTGATTGAAATTAATAGGTTTAGACGTGATGTTCTCATAGCAAAAGTCAGCATATTTTATGGCAGATGCCCGTCGTATTTCCAAATCAGTGATGTTAATCAAACAAATCTGTGTTACATTTTCAAAGCTGACGTGCCATCTGAAGAGAAAATATTAAAGCCAGCCAGAATATGAAGTTAATTGTGATGACTATTTTCTTCCTAGAAACCGATTTTTTACAATTTTCAAATGATTTGCAGTATAGTATGTCTTATGTATGATTGTTGACTTTTAATAAAACACAAAAAAGTCTAAAAATCTGTACAACAGCGACTTAAAATCGAATATAAAATAGTGAGACAATCTCTCGTGAGTCTCGTCTTCGTATCCGTAGCCATTTATACTGCTTTGGCAACGTTTAAGAGGGAAATATATACTAAATTTTTATCAACATGCATTGAGAACACCACGTCTTACCTACTAATTGATTTAAATAAATAAAATTAGCGAAACCTACCGCTTTTGTGGGGTTTTCCTGGAGAAAAACTTTCAAAACGAAACGAACAAGAAAACCGAAGTGTTTACCCGCGTTTGACCACAGAATAAGAAGCTATAGCAGAAGCGTAACTCTAGTCGTTTCCCTTATTGTTTTACGTCCACGAAAATTTTAACTCGCTCACGCCATCCTGGCTAGTACAGCCGGAAGTTTTTATCAGGTTTAGGTAGGTACAAAGTGCCGGTTGTACTAGCCAGGATGGCGTGATTGATGACGAATCGCTTGTAAAAACGCGGACAAATACTTGCTTGAGTTACGCTTCTGCTATACCTTCCTATTCTGTGGTTTGACGTTGAGCATGCGCAGTGTTTAACCGGATACCATGTTTTTATGGTATCCGATTATGGATTTGGCCAGAGCCCCTCGTCGGGCTCGGTCGAACGCGCGTAAGAAGGGCTCTGGGTACGAGAATGGTCGATATCTCGATTTTGTGTCTGTCTGCAAGCAACACCACCAAGCTTCGGCAGGAATTAGGATTAAAGATTTTCACCCAAAGTAGGAGGGCTGACGTGAAATTTTGGTGGGGTTGAACACTTTATAACACCTCGGGGTGTTATACTCGGTACTACCCCCCCAGGCCCAGTAAATCTGCCCATGGCTGTCTGCACATATTAACTTACCAGCAGTTATATGTAATAGCATGTCAACCGACTTTTGTACAAGGTATGACGCAGGCATTCAAATACGGAATTTTTACAAGGACGCACTTTGCCTTCAGAGGCGTATTTTTGGTACAAATGCGCAGACTCACGAGAACGAGTGGCGAAGCCACAAATTTAGCGTCAAAGACGCGAGCTTTTAAGGAGGTCTCTGAAATGGCATTTCCAGAGTTCTGAGAGCAGAATCTGCAAAATCTTTGGCCATTTTGTATGAATTACATTAATATATTTTCAGTTTAATATATTTTCAAGTACACACTTTTCAATTTACAAGGGCACATTCGCCTTTTACAAGGACACAAAGTGTGTACAAGGACACGCTATTTTAATGCCTGGTATGACGGTTTGTAAAAGTATATCTCTGAGATATGTCCATTGTCAGCATATTAAATAAGGAATAATCCTACCGGCCTAAATACATTCATATATTCACCTGGCTGTGTCACTACATTTCAGGGTATACTATATTTTCTCGATAATGCTCACAATTTCTTTCTTATTAATATACAGTTTTGAAGTTATGACTGAGTACAATCTTAATCATTGGCATTACAAATGAATGGTGCCATCTGAAGCTGATGTATTAAATTAAACAAAAATGACAGTTGTTCTGTGATAGGGGTAGTTTTGTATTATAGTATTTCTATACATGAAATTGTTATTAAATTTTGCATGTCCAATGACTCATTCAAGTATTATTATTGTTGTTGTACATTTATTATATAAAGTATAGTGCTTTATAGAGATTTCGAGCACTGATAAAACTGATAATCTCACATGTGAGATTATTTATGATAAATCTCACATGTGAAAATTATCGCTTTTCAATAATCGCTTTTCTGCAAAAAATATCGCTTTTCGAAGACTGTCCTTTATATAATAAACAGAAAAATAAACATAAATACTTGGAAATACCAGATTTATTTCTCGAAATTTCCGCACACCCATGTATTATTCTCTATATAAATATATAGTATTGTACAGTATTCAGTGGCAAGCTAGTCATGGCAACTCGTCATGCTATGCCCTCTGTGCTATGCCTATGCTGATAATCTTGCATCTATTTGAATGATGCAAATCATTAATAACTTGCATAGCATGACTTGTTGCTATGGCTAGCTTCACCAATGACAGCTGATTATAATTATACATAACAAAAGCAAGAAGTTATAAGCATTGAAGGTATTCATATAAAACCACAGGTGGCCAGGCTCTGTGTGAGTATTTATTTATTTTTTAATTTTATTATATTTTGCATTACAAATTGACTTTAATTTTTTAAATTATAAAGTATAACTTACTTAGTTTCCTTTATGTATTCTTTATGTATTTGGGGGTGGTTTTAGTTTTATATAATGATATAAAAACATCATGAGAGTAATGGCAAAGCGGGATCATATAAACAGCCCCTTATTCAGCCAAATGTGCATGCTGCCTTTGATCCCTTGGGGGGTGAGGCAGCACTTTCCTTGCGATAGTAACTTCTAGTTTGTGATATTTTGGCGCCAATATTTGTTTATCGTATTAAATCTCGATTTCAGTGATACTATTGTGGAAAAATATAACGGACATGATGGGAGACGAAAGCAACGAACAAGTAGAGGGTTTAGAAGACACCGAGCGTACGGAAACTTCGATACAAAAGGAAATTGCGAAGCTAGAATACTATTTGGAAGGGACAGACGAATTGATTCGAACGAATGACGTTGAGGAAATAAAAACAACGGTTAAAATTAAACAAACATCCAAGATTATGAGCAAACTTTCGGAGCTTATTTCACAGCTAGAAGAGTTTAAAATCGACAGTGGTATTAAGGTATTTCACCTAGAACTGTTCGTCAGTGGAAAAAGGATATCAAGGCGAAATATGCAGAATTATTGCTGGACAAGGAGAAACTTTCTGACTTTTTAGAGTCAAGGGAGCGACGAACCCAAGAAGAATCTGAACGGCGAAAGTGGGAAGCTAAACAACAACTAGAGGAGGCAGCAATCGTTGAGAGACACGAACGTGAACGAAAATTATGGGAACAAAAACTGCAAGCCGAGTTGGAAATTACTGAGAAACGTATGGAGCTAGAAAGGGAAGCAAAATCTACTAGTGCCAAATTGCCAAAATTGAAGATAACCCCTTTCAAGGGGTTTCGAGAATATTTTCTTGACCCAAATTGACAAGAAACCTATTTCGAACGAAGAGAAATTCGGCTATTTGCTCGAACTGGCGAACCCCAAGGTCAGAGACCGGTTGGCAAATCTTAAACCAAGTACCGAGGGATATGAAACAGCGTGGAAAAGGCTCAAAGCAGAATACGGACAGACCAAACAAAGTTGTAAATGCACATATGGAGGAAATTATTGGGTTACCTGTAGTCAAAGGTTCTAACTATACGAAAATCCAAGAATTCTACGAAAGGTTGAGTAAGAGTTTCGACGCTGTGCATACTTTGGGAGAGGATGGGCCTCTCAAAGCTTTTGTGATGACGACATTGAACAAACTTCCACATATTAAACCAGACCTGGTACGAACTGACAACAAATGGGAGGACTGGAGCTTGAAGGATTTACTGGATAACCTGCAGAAGTGGTTACTTAGAAATAAAACGACGAACGATTCGAAGCATAGCGAAGAGTCATCGAGAAGAGAACGGAACTGGTTTGCTGGAAAGGCGAGTGGAGGAAAACCGAAGAGCCCCAAATGTGTCTTTTGCAAAGGTGAGCATTACTCGGACAGTTGTGAAGATATTAAGGATTTAGATAGTCGCCGGAAGTTCTTTACGAACTATTAACTGTGCTATAATTGTGGTCAATCTGGCCATCGAGCGAATATTTGCCATGGGGGGAGTTGTTTCAAATGCAAAGGGAAACACCATACAAGTCTGTGTGACGGGAAGAAAGGTCCCATCCTAACTGGGTATACCCCCTCAGATACCACATTACCACCCATAATTCCTGTGAACATACAAGGCGTGACATTGTGGTCATATCTAGACACAGGGTCAGGGAGAAACTTTATCTCTCAAGATGCCATAGCAAAACTGAAATTATCTCCTGTACACCACGAAACTCGTCATATTGTCACTTTGAGTGGGTCGAAACGACAGTCCATGCCCATTTTCAATGTTGAAATGTCCTCACTTGATGGAACCGCCAAAGAGAGAATTGAGATTACTGGGACCAAAATGCCTAACTTTACTACCATTAAGCGACCAGACATGAACGAGCTGAAGCGGGAGTTTGAGCATACTAGGGACAAACGTTTCTACATGCAGCCGGATCACAAATACCCAATACATCTTATAGTTGGGGATAACACGTTTTCTCGAATGAAAACCGAGGAGATCTACAAAGGGAAACCAGGAGAGCCAGTGGTCAAAGGAACAACATTTGGTTGGATAATACATGGCGGGGACCTTTTTAACGATGAGTGCATGTATTGCAGAGATGTGAGCGACCACCAGATGTTGTATAGTCTTGATGTGCTTGGTGTAGAAGACCGGGGAGAAGACGATCAATTGGATGTTTACACCGAATTCAACGAGACCATTGTTCGAGACAAGGAAGGACGGTACCAAGTCAACGTTCCGTGGATACCTGGTGCTCAACTTACAGAGACAAATGAGATACAGAGCAAGAAACGCCTGCGTTCGGTCACAAAGAAACTCAATCAAGACCTCGGTTTGAAAACAGAATACCGGAACATCGTAGCCCAACAGGTTGAGAAAGGAATCATCGAGAGAGTCCCAGGGGAACCGACCGGAAGTCGTGTGTTTTATATGCCACATAAACCAGTGGTAAAATCTTCTGCCACAACCACAAAGGTCCGAATGGTGTTTGATGCCAGCGCGAAGCCGAACCCACTCGCTCGAAGTGTTAATGAGTGCATGTATAAGGGCCCTCCACTACAGCCGTTGCTGTGGGATATATTGATAAGAGCTCGAATTGCTCCAAATTTGCTAATTGGTGACATTCAACAGGCATTCCTTCAAGTCGGATTGAAACCAGAGGACAGAGATGCCTTTCGATTCGTATTTGAATTGATAGACGGAACGGAAGAGCAATTCAGATTTACCAGAATACCCTTTGGCGCAGAAGCGAGCCCCTTTCTTCTCGGAGCCACCTTGTAACACCATTATGATAACCAACCACAGGAGAACCATACTGATACCCTGTTGACACTTAAGGAGAACACGTATGTAGATAACTTAATGAAGACTGGGGACAGTGTCGAAGAGTTGAAGGAATTTAAGCACGAAGCTACAACCATCATGGAGGAGGGGAGGTTTCCTGTTCATAAGTGGGAATCAAATGTTCATTCGCTAGAGAGTGCGGACATGCCCAATCCTGGAAAGATACTGGGTTTGACATGGCATAAGCAAGATGACGTATTAGAGATCCTGAACGAGATAACGGACAGCAAATTACAAAGAAATCTATCTTGAGTCATTTGGCTGGTATTTACGATCCGCTCGGAATTATATCCCCAACAGTTGTGGAATGTAAACACATCTATCGCGAAGCATGTGATGAAAATCAAAACTGGGATTCAGAAGTGTCTACGGTGCTAGCCAAGGATTGGTTAAAATGAACTAGACAACTTCGCAACGTACGAATACCGAGGAACGTGATTCGAGAATGCAGGAAAGTGAAGGCTGTTCACTTACATCTCTTTGCTGACGCGAGCAATTTGGCTTGCTCTGCAATGACCATTGCTGTTGTCGAACACGATACGGGAACAGTGAAAGGGTTTCTAACATCAAAATCTCGAATCTGTAAGCGTAACACATCCATCGCACGCTTGGAGCTAGTAAGTGGTCAGATGGCAGCAAATTTAGCGAGGAATCTTGTCAATGCTCTGAAGAGACTGCTCGTCAGATCAGTTACCATCTGGATGGACAGCCTGGTCGCTCTCTACTGGATTTCAAGCCCTGGAAAATCATGGAAGGTGTTTGTCGCAAACAGGGTGAAAAAGATCGCGGAAATAACGGAGGAAATCGGGATTCAATGGAAGTATGTGCCGTCAGAGAAGAATGTTGCCGACGCGAAACTATCCTCGATTATTCGCCTTTAATGCATTTCTTTCACGATTAATCGACATCCCCTGCAAGAATGATACCGTATAACTCTCAAAACAACGATGCTTTAATCAAAGAGCTTAAATTCGCTCTGAATCCGTGAGGGAATAACAAAATTCGGCCAAAATATATCCGCGTGCTGGGTTTGCTGGACAAAAAGCGGAAGTCGTTGAACAACTCAAAATACACTCAACCCTGATTGGACAACGAATATCAACAAACATTTCAAATTTTTCTCCACTGGGAAGGGAGACAGTACTTGGAACAATGGAACAGTACTGTAATAATTTGATTATTTGGATCAAAACAATTCACAAACGTTATAAAGTCTACTACAAGTCGATTATATGTGTTACTGTAAATATAACTGCAAATATAACTATAACTTTACGCTGAAATATCTTGTCAAATAGGGTAAATTCACTATCCGTATTTACTGACTAAACTTCTTAAATTTAAATAATTAGATTTGCACTGGTTTTCCCCCGACAAATTTGTTAATTGTTTTGATTCAATTTTATATTAACCTGAGTATCAGGCCCTCGGTATTGAAGAGAGCCTGACACAATTCGCCTCCACGGGCTTTCCACCCTCAGAATTATCAGCCAATTAAAATTATTTCCGGTTGTAAGCATATTTCCGGTTGTCCGCTACAGGTATGTAAATACGCAAATTTCGTTATTTGCAGTTTTGTGTAAATTTGAATAAATACGGAGAAAAATCGGTATGTTTTTGTCGAAATATCCACATGATGGAATTCTAAGCGTAAACTATGCCTCATTCGGGGAACCATAGCTCGATGGCTTTTTCCAGGAGTCTAAAGAGACAACATTCGGCGCTCTGAATAGGATTTCTTCTTCCTCGGTCCTCGTGTCATGTTAATAGTTTATTCGAGACAGCTATTCGCTTCAACTGCGTCTGACACAGCGGCTATTGTCTTCAATTTCTGCCTGATGTTGGCACATTAGTTCGAGCGAGCTGACTACTATATCCTTGCAGGTCTTGGAAAACAGCTCGGCAATAAACTGATAAATAAGGCTTCAGCTTTTTGGAAATTATTTGAAAATTCCCGACATCCACATATTTTCGTTCTACGGCGACTATTACGGCGAGATATTTGGACACGCTTTCTACAATGACTATGTAGTTTTAGTTTTATATGCCGAGTAAAATGTTGCTGCAAAAGCGTTTTCAACGTCTTTTCGTACTTATTTTGTCATTTTTAGGCTTAATTAATTGAAAATAAATTTCAGAAATAAAGCACTTTTAACAGTATATTGACAAAATTACAAATTCTATTTTTAGTGTTTACATACGCCGGTCATATATTTCCGGTTTGAATCACATGATGCGTTTTATAGCCAATCAGCATAACATCAAGATTCTGGATGTTGAACACAACCTCGTTCCCAGGGTCTTTCTTAGACCCTGGGAACGAGGTTGTGTTGAACATGGCTTTAGAGGCGAATTGTGTCAGGCCTAACCTGAGTATCAGGCCCTTGGTATTGAAAGAGGTCTCTTCAAGAGGTTTGGTCTCTTCAATACCGAGGGCCTGATACTCAGGTTACATAAACACCTGCACAGACACCGCTGCAAAGAATGGCGAGCGACAGGACAAAGGAGATCCGCTTGTTCGGCGCTTTATTTCTCCTTATGTTGATTCACACAACGAAACAGGAATCGCTTTGTAACAGTAAGTGAAATATATTACCTAGGGAACGTCAGTCAAAGGTTTCTTTATGAACATGCTTTCGTTGGTAGGGATGCAACTACCTGAAAATATAAGGAGAATTTCAGGTTTCTTTAGGTTTCAAAGGTTGCTTTAGGTTTTTTCCTTGCAAATAGACTTGTAATTTCTAGATATAGTATCGCAAATCAATTAGTTTTGGTTAGTATCAATCGAGCTATCAATGACAAGTAATGTCTTATATTCCCAAAATGTATACTGCAAAATATCGCGCGATCGCAACCACTGTGAATTACGCATGAGATTCAACATGATATTCGATATTGTGTGAACTCACTCATTTCAATCACTCAGAAGTAAAAATGAAAAATATAGCCATTTCTTCCCTTCCAAATGAATTACAAAGAAATAAATCATATAGTTCGTATTAACTAATTAATACCTTTATGTTTTATTGCATAAAAACCAGTAAACGCGCATCAAAGCAGTCCAAAAAGACATTTTACTAACAATAACCACAGGTGCCAAATACAGCCTGTACTAAAAAAACTGTCAAGAATTGTTTTTAAATAATTAAATTCCAACCCCGCTATTCTATAGCATTTTCTAAAAATTTCATATATTGTATGCAAATATATGCTCTTCCAAATTGTTACTTAAACGTAAGCGGTGCAAGCCTATAAACTAGCGAGAACCCGTCTCAAAATTTGACTATTTTGCACACAGGGAGTCCAACTAAGAGCTGTGTTATGAATATGAATAAAACATATTAATTAAACGTAATATGAATAAAACATCATAACGTAATAAATTTAAATTATTGCACTTACTTGTATAAATCATAAGAGCTTGTTGCATTTACAACGAATAGCTTCAAACAGGGCGCTTATATATGCTCAGAAACGGGAGGGTACAAAAGCTGGACCCCCTCATCTGGACCCCCTTCTGGACCCTCATCTGGACCCCCTTCTGGACCTCTCAGAATATAAAATAAATTCAAAATAGGGATTAAAATAAATACTTTGCAGAAATAATGATTTTCATAAATAATAGATTTTAATTAATGGAAGTGGGCCTAGTTGCGAAGTAGTCTTGTGTAATAGGTTAGACAGGTCACTACTTTATATTAGATCAAAAGAATAGTTTCGGCCATGTTGTGATGAACTCTGAACAGTAATAGCTATATTTAGAGACACGCGCAATATTACCTTATATGGTATAATGACTTTGTTATTGTGACTTTGTTATTGTTCAAGAGTATAGACAAGGTTAAGAGACAATTGACAGGGTTTGAGACAAGTGAATTCATATATTTCGTGTTGTTTTTTGTGTATAATAAATATTTAGAGTGAGGATTTATATACGAGGACAACTTCGGTATATAGTGGTGCCGTGACCAGGATGTAAACAAGGGAAACAAGTGATATTTTACGGGGAATTTCAACAAATTTACAACTATATTTACGACGATAAGCGAGAGTTAAAATGAGCGACACAGAAGCACAAGCGAGCGAGCAACAAATTGAGAATAAAATCAACAAGGAAATAGAAAAGTTAAAGTATTATTTGGAACAAACCGACGAGCTTATCGAAGAGCAAGATCTTAGGGAAATCGAAACAGTAAACAAGCGTACAAAGGCGATTTTGGATCAAATATATAGCCTTGTTTCGACCGCTCAAGAGACGAAAGTTGAGCTGGAATTCGACAATGTTGAAATTCGACAATTCGACAATGGAAGAAAGAGGTAAGAGATAGATATATGCCATGGGTAAATGAAATGAACAAACTGTCTGATTTTCTGGCTAAACGACAAGCAAATATTGCCGCTGAAGAGGAAAATAAGCGACGAGACGCGAAACGTATCGAAGAAGAGCATAACAGGGAAGTAATTCGAGACTAAGAGAGGCAAATGCTCGAAGAAAAATTACAAGCAGAGCTTAAAATGACGGAGAAAAAGCTAGAAATGGAAAAAGCTGCAAGATCAACTCTAGCTAAACTTCCTAAATTGAAAATAACACAATTTAATGGAACAACAGCAGACTGGGTAAGGTTTGAGAACATGTTTATTACACAGGTCGATTCTAAGCCAATTAGTGATGAGGAATAGTTTGGCTATTTACTTGAAATGGTGAGTGGAAAAGTCAGGGATAAGATCTCAAACCGAGCTCGATTGGATATAAAACGGCTTGGGAACGACTCAAAAAGGAATACGGTCAAACAAAGTTGGTTGTGAATGCACATATTGATGAAGTAGTAAATTTATCCACAGTACGAGGGTCCTCCTATGAAAAGATCTTGGCTTTCTACGAACATTTGAGCAAGAACTATGACGCCCTACAGACTCTCGGTGAACATGAGAAATTAGATGGATTTGTGATGTGTACTATTAATAAGTTGCCAAATGTGAAGTCAGACTTGGTAAGGACTGATGAAGATTGGGAAGAATGGAAAATGGAGAACTTAGTTGATAGTCTGCAAAAATGGTTACGAAGAAACAAAACTGAAGAAGATAAATCCACAGGTGACCCAAGAAGAAGAGAGAAAAACTTGTTTGCACGTAATGGAGGTAAAGAGAACGAAAGAGGAAAAAAGACACCTTGTTGTATGTTCTGTAAAGCTGAACACTGGAGTGATATGTGCAAGTCTTATGTAACCACAGCTCAAAGAAAGGCTTACTTCGGTGAGAACAATTTATGCTTCAATTGCGGTAGCCCGGGACATAGGGCTAGACATTGTAGGAGTCGTGGGTGCTATCACTGTGGGGAGAGACATCATACCAGTTTACATGATCAGAAAGAAAACGACGGTGATGGTACAGTACTAACAGGCTACTCAACAACAACAGACGAGATTACATTACCCCCCATAATCCCAGTTAAGGTGGATGGAGAAGTTTTCTGGGCATTTTTGGACACAGGATCGGGCAGGAATTTTATTTCAAAGGAAGCAGTAAAGAAACTTCAAGTTTCTGCAGCACGACATGAATCGAAAGAAACCATCACCATTAATGGAACAAAAGACAGTCCATGCCTATTTACAATGTAACAATCGAATCATTAGATGGATCAACCAAGGGAGATATAGAGCTAGCCGGGTCGACAATGAAAGATTTCACAACAGTGAAAAGACCGGACATGAACAAACTTAAATGGAATTATGAACACACAAAGGATAAGAGGTTTTACATGACAAGAGATGGTGAATATCCAATACACATGATCTTAGGTGACAACACCTTCTGCAAGATTAAGACAGAGGAAATCTACAAAGGAAAGATGGCATCCTATCGTTGAAGGTACTTCGTTTGGTTGGATTGTTCATGGTGGTGATATTTCGAACAATGTGTGTATGTTTACAAGAGAACCAAATGACTACGAGCAATTGTATACACTGGATGTAGTTGGAATTGAAGGTAGAGGGGAGAACGACCAACTGGACGTTTATCATGAATTTAAAGAAAACATTACTCGGGCTGATGACAGTAGATATCAAGTCAAAGTACCATCGATTCCAGGACATTCTTTACCAAATAGCAATCTAGAACCAAGTGGAAAGCGATTAGCTAACGTATGCAAAAAGATCGAGCGAGATGAGAAGGTAAACAACAATTATGATGAAACAATCGAGAAGCAATTAGAATCGGGTATCATTGAAGGTGCACCAGTGAAACCGAATGGTGAACGAGTAGATCATATACCCCACAAACATGTTGTCAGAGAGGAGGCAAATAAAGCCAAAGATAGCGCGGAGATTCCCGAGAATTTTAGAAATTTTGGACTGGTCGGTGATAGTTCGGAAAATCCATGGTTTTTGAACGATGGAAGAGCTTAAGAAGACATGAATGAGGAAACTGAGGAACATGAAAATACACCAGAACGGTTGAGAAAACTGAAGGCAGTAACTGCGGAAGAAACAAAGGAAGGACAAGGTGATGAAGACGAAAATACTTCCGATAATTCTGACCAAGATGAAACATTTGAATTCATGGATGATGAAGGGAGCAGAGAGAAAAGAAAGAAATTGAAAGGAGATAAGGTTGACAACATCATCAGGGAAGAACGCATAAAAAAGAAAAGGAAAATCAAAGGAAAGAAGAGAAAAGTTCTTTCGAAAGGACATACTGAGGAAGTAAATGATGTTGAGAGGAAAAGAGAAGAAAACGAAGTAGAGAACCTTGAGGAAAATGACATAAAAACGAAAGGGAAAGTGAAAAGTAATGTTGTTTCACAGGGAAATACTAAAGAAACTAGTAGTGTTGAAAAGACAAGTGAACGTAAGAAAAAGAAAAGAAAAATTACAGACGAAAGTAGAATGAAAGAAAAGTTGGAGAAAAGCAAGAAAGCAAAGTTGGTGAAGAGTGGGACTGACGAGGACAATATGCAAACCGGAGATTTGGACGAAAAGAACCGAGAACGGTGGATGAAAGGCAAAGTTGTGAAGTACGTGAAAGTAAAGGACGGTGTAATTAGAGGAGTTATTGTATTACATAAAGGTAACTATTTGGAACGACCTGTTCAGCTAGTATGTCCTTTGGAGATAAGGAGCGTGGTTAAGGAAGATCAAGGAAGAGACAGTATATCATATATCATGGCGGACGAACAACAATCAACCAAGCGCTCTGCGCAAAATTCAAAAACTATCGACCTGTGTACGCCTATTAAACCAGTCAAATCAAAAATTAAGAAAATCAACGCATCAGAGAAAGGGACTGAGGAAAAAGAAGGAGAAAAAGACGTAGATATGAGGCAAATTCATCAAATGTTCACTACAATGATGACGAAATTGGAGAAGCTCGACGCAATTGAAGCAGACATGAAGGAAATCAAACATTCCTTAGAATTTGCGCACGCTGAAATTGCCGATTTAAAAAAAGAAAACGATACCAGCAAAGCAAACCAAGCAGAAGCAAAGGAAAAAATTGAAAAGCTTGAGCAAGACAACACCACGTTGCGCAACAAAATAGTAGACCTTCAAGCAAGATCAATGCGCGACAATTTACTATTTTTTAACATCCAGAACGTGACCAAGAAAACACAACTGAAATGATTCATGAGTTGTTAGAAACGAAGATGGAAATACATGACGCGCGGAATAAAGTAAAGATCGATCGGTCCCATCGGATTGGGAGAAAACGAGAAAGAAACCAAAAACCGCGTCCGATCGTGGTCAAGTTTAACTATCATCAAGACCGAGAGTACGTCCGGTTAAACACGAAGAAACTTAAGGGGACAAAGATCGGAGTATCAGAACAGTTCCCAGAAGAAATTGAGAGCATAAGAAAAACATTGTATCCGGAACTAAAGAAAGCCAGAGCAGAAGGTAAAAGGGCCAGAATAGTAAGAGACAAATTGATCATTGAAGGGCAAGTCTTTCATAATAATAGGTCTTGACAATCTGTAACCTGAGTCCTCTATATATTTTACTAACTAAACACAGTTCATACTTTATAGTTAATTTCTTAATTCAAATATTGCACTATAAACCTTTCCAATGACCACACTTAACAATGAGCGCAAGAAGAAATGTTCTTCTTGCTTCAAAACTATTCAAAAAACACAAAAATCAATTGAATGTCTCACATGTATGAATCGGTTTCATGCTGTGTCTGCATGCACAAAATCATTCAACTCCTACATAGGTAACAATACGATTGACTTGTGCCAAAATTGCTTAGCTGAATCTTTACCGTTCCAAACACTCGATGATTTAGAATTTGAATTTACGGTTTTAAAAGGAATTAATGTGAGGAAAGATGAAATGGATAGACTAAGGCATTTGAAATTCAACCCTTTCGACACGAATAATAATATTGCGTTATCGGAAAACAATGCAAATCTCGATAAATCGTCAAAAATAAACTGTGAATATTATCTACCAACTGATTCTAAAGAACAAATAAATGAAACAAACCAAAATAATAACTTTTCAATGATACACTTAAATATTAGAAGCATGATGAACAAATTTGACTCTTTTAAAGAATTAATATATTCATTAAATAAACCGTTTCAAATAATAGGTTAAACTGAAACGTGGCTAAATGAAACTAACGAAGATCGCTTTAAATTCCAAAATTATGATTTTGTAAATGTAAACAGGTCAACTAAAAGTGGAGGATGAGTAGGTATTTATATCGCAAATGAACTAAACTATAAAATACGCACTGATCTAAACACAAGTATTGAGAATGTAATTGAATCTGTCTTTGTCGAAATTATAACAACTGTAGGTAAAAACATCATAATAGGTGTAGTATATAGGCCACCAAATAATCATTTTGACTCATTCGAAACTGAAATGAATCAAATATTAGGACAAATAGACAAAGAAAACAAATTATGCTATCTAATGGGGGATTTTAATATTGATCTATTGAAATCAGAATCTTGTGATTATACCATCAGATTTCTTGAACAACTATTTACCTCATCATATGTCCCACTTGTGTTCAGGCCAACAAGAATCACTCAGCATACCGCTACATTAATTGACATTATTTTCACCAATGATATAGAAATTATAGAATCAAGCTCAAATGGTTTAATTTTTAGCGATATCTCGGATCATTTGCCGATATTTCATATACGAAACTCGAAAACGTATCATGAAAAAATTCAAAAAAATGAATTTACCTGTAAAAGGATTATCAAAATGATGCCAATATTCAATCGTTTACAAACACAATCACAGATGTATCATGGGATAATGTACTTTCTAAAAACAACACGGCAGAGTCCTACAATGAATTCTTTAACTTACTTTCAATAGCCTATGAAAAAAACTTTCCATTAAGAAGAAAAGTAGTAAAAAGAAATATTGACAAAACCCGAAGCCCATGGATGACAAAATGTATTGCAAAATCAGTTAAGCAAAAGAACAAGTTATATAAAAAATACCTTCATGCCCTACAGAAAAAAAGAAAAAATATACAAACAATATAAAAATAAACTAAATCATATAATAAGAGCGGCAAAAAAGAAACATTACGAAGAACAGTTAATAAAATATAAACATGATACAAAGGTACTATGGAAAACATTAAATGAAATTATGAATCGAAATAAAACAAGTAGTATGTTACCAAAGGAATTTATTGGAAATAGTCCTGGAGAAAAAATTACTGATCCAAAATCAATAGCAAATAGATTCAATGATTATTTTGTAAATATTGGCCCAGGACTTGCGAAAAAACTTTCGAATATCAAAACAAATTTTGATAAATATCTCACTAATAGCTGTAAAGGAAGCTTTTTTTAATCCAATAACTAAAGATGAATTAGAAAATGAGATAAATAATTTGAATTCCAAAAAAGCACTGGATATGATGGTATAAGCTCACAGCCGGTATTCAAAGCGATTGCAACTGAACCACTTTCACACATATTCAACTACTTGACTTTTCTTTCTGGAACTATTCCTGATGATCTAAAAATAGCTCTAGTTACCCCAATTTTCAAAGCAAACGAAAACAATGAATTTAAGAATTATCGGCCCATATCTGTTCTCACTTGTTTTTCTAAATTATTGGAAAAGCTTATGTATAAGAGATTAATTAACCACATAGAAAAAAATAAAATATTAACACAAAATCAGTATGGTCTTAGGGAAAATAGATCCACTGAACTTGCAATGATGAACTTGTTGACAAAATCACCCAAGCAATCGATAAAGGAGAATACACAACAGGTATCTTCCTCGACTTGTCAAAAGCCTTTGACACAATTAATCACAAGATTCTGATTCAAAAACTAGAACACTATGGTATACGCGGAATAACAAGACAGCGGTTTGAAGATTACTTAAAAAACAGAAAACAGATTGTTAAATATAACCAAGTTAAATCAAAAGCAATGATAATTAAAAGTGGTGTCCCACAGGGGTCAATTCTTGGACCAATTTTATTTCTTCTCTATATCAATGATATTGAAAATTGTAGCAAATTAATTTCATTTATATTATTTGCAGATGACACTAATATATTCTATAGTAACAAGTGTCTAAAAACACTTAATAAGATAATGCAAACTGAAATTGATAAAGTTGCTGACTGGTTAAATGCGAATAAGTTATCTCTAAATACTACAAAAATAAAAGTAACATTATTCCGATCTTCAAATAAAAAAGCAAAGCAAGACATTAATATTAACATCAATGGTAATAATATTGAACAAGTTAGAAATACAGTATTCCTTGGTATTGTCATTGACGAATGTTTGACCTGGAAAGATCATATATATACTAAGGTAGCAAAGAAATTAATTAGAGCTGCTGGTATAATAGCTAAAATACGACATTTCGTAAACCGAAATACTGTAAAACTGATATACTATGCATTAGTCTATCCATACTTGATTTACGGCAACCTAACATGGGGTAATACTTACAAAAACAGAATTAAAAAAATAATGATATACAAAAAAATAGTGCGTTTAATGGCATTCAAATCATACTTTGATCACAGTGAACCAATTTTCAAAGATTTAAATATTCTCAACATCTTCAAAATTAACGACTATTTAACTGCTTTATTTATGTTTCGATACCACCATCTTAATAATTTACCAGAATTTTTTAAAGATTATTTTGTGACAAACAACCAAATTCATCAATATAACACGAGAAATGCATCAAAACTTCACAAATGTTATAAAAGAACAAATTATGTAGAACACACTCTCTCAAATAAAGGAGTTGACGTATGGAATTCATTAGAAACAAAATTTATAGATATAAATTTCTATAGCACTTTCAAAAAGCAAATTAAACAACATTTTTTACTATACAATGTATAAGACATGCTATAAAACATTCTGCTATATGACAAAATTAATAGTATGTTGTAGTCTAATTCTTATAAGAACCCAAATGCATCTACAACATTGGTATTCACTTCTATAATAAGAACAATTTCTCTTCTTTTTCTATCTTGTAAATATATATATATATATATATATATATATATATATATATATATATATATATATATATATATATATATATATATATATATATATATATATATATATATATATATATATATATGACTGTGTTTGAGGAAACATGTCTGGTATAATATTTTTGTGGTTTTGTTGAACTTTTCTTCAGACATACAAAGTAAAAACTTTTATTCGTAAAATAAAGTTTTAAAATCCCAAACGTTTCGCCGATCAAGGCTTCTTCAGTGGGAAACTAGTTAAAAGTCATATAATGTCCCTATATATATGCAAGTCCGTCAATACTCAATAGCCAAAATTACAATATATAAAACTAATTAGAGATAAAACGACTGTCTTGATTACATGTACAGGATTAAAAAAATTAAAATTAATTATATATACAAGATTTAAGAAAATTAAAATACTAATTGTATAAAAGTGTTCTCCCAGTACAGCCATTCATAATTTTGTCAGCATTATTTCGTATCTCGACTGCTTCAATGTACCTTCGCTCCTCTTGGTTGCGGATATATGTGTGTGTAAAAGTTTCTAACTTATTTTAGCGTCCTCAGGTCTCTGATTGTGGGAAATTATGTGTCTGTATACGGTCTGCTTATACATTGATAAGTGTTCTTTAATTCTTTGGCCTATTGTTCTTCCTGTCTCGCCGATGTATATAATATCGCAATATAATATATATATATATATATATATATATATATATATATATATATATATATATATATATATATATATATATATATATATATATATATATATATATATATATATATATATATATATATATATATATATATATATATATATATATATATGTACAATCTGCAGACATGCATGTTTCGGCGTTCAACGCCTCGTCAGTGCAGCTTGGTACACGTCTAGATACGTGAGACACTTGTATTTATACTCCATGCACTTGCTCTCACCAAGGCATGTGGTACAACAAGGTGACTCAACGCATCCAGACATGCGCAGAGCGTAATGGGGCCAGAGTGCTCAAACGACCACAAGGGAAGTGAGCTTTGCCTTATCGCTAATAGACACCCATTATATATAATGTGTAGATTCCAAAGAAATTGTTTACCTTGA